TTTTTTTTTTGGTTTATGACATAATTTTTACCTTCTGAGCTAAAAGTAATGCGTTCTGAGATGTGGCAGACTCTTTTTTGAGTCTTCGGGTTTTACTAGATATTTTGATGTTGTATAGTTTGGTTCTTAATTGAGTGAATGTTTTCGTGTATTTTTATATGTAGTATAAAGTTTACTCTTTTTGCTCGAGCAATTGCGTTAGGATTTGATTATCAAGACTACATTATATTTAACCATCAGATTCGGTTGATGCAGGAGGAACAAAATATGCCAATTGCTTCATATGTAATGAAAGTGGGCACTTGAGTAAAAATTGTCCCAAGAATACGCATGGAATTTATCCAAAGGTAAATTGGTCGATATATATTGCTTCTAGTATATAATCCAATAAGTATCCTAAATTCGAAAATGTTGAAATAAAAAGACGAGGAAATGTAGAAGTTAACCCAATAAGCTGAAGCACGATTCGTGTTACAATCTTGTTTTTTTTTTTTCCCCTTGATCAAGTATTATAATCGTGCTTTTTCTTTTTCAGGGTGGGAGCTGTAAAATTTGTGGTGGTATAACACATCTTGCAAGAGATTGTCCTAATAAACAAAGCAGAACTTCTGAAGCTGATATGATTCGCCAATCACGTAAGTGAAGTAGATGCTGCATTACCAAAAACACCCTTGATATTTAGTTTAATTACAATAAAATTATAGAAAAAACTGCTAGCCCTCGAAATTGAAAAATGTTTGGTTGAATAATGTCAATCGGTTGAGATAGTTTTTGGCTTAAGTGGGGAAATTGTGTTTTGAAGTAAAATTGAATTTTTTTGTAACTTGAGAGTTTATGCTTCCATCTATCGTGTCATCACATTACTTTAAAATCAATAATAACAAATGAAAAAAATGAAATTTTTGGTAGTTTCAAATTTCAGTGTGCATATTCTTCATTGGCACAAATTAATGCATCAAAATTTTATTGTATTTGATAGTTGAAGCTTACGAACGGCCTAATCGGGTCACCAAGCTCGTCAGTGGGGATGATCTTGAGGATGATTTCGTACCCGTTGCTCCCATAGAAGGAAATGATAAAGATGTAAAGACCAAGAAAAAACAAGGACCTAAAGTTGTTAATTTTGTTGGTTGAGGATATTGATACTTTTTTTGTGGGCAAATTGTGAGTTTTTTCGGGGGTTTTCGCCAAGATATTAGTCATATTCACTATAATTTGCATCTTTTTTCTTAATGTTGTATTTGTGACACAAGATAGTTTAGCATACTACTGGCACTTTTATGAGATTTCGCCAATTATGCGTGGGTATGCAAATGTATAATGATATATCCCTATATATTAATTCAAAATGTGCTGAATCTAAGTAGCAGACTTGCACGCTTTGGATTTTGGAATCCTACATTTCATAACATCATGTTTTGTATTTAGGTTCGCATAAAAAATTTCGAAACAAAATTGGTTTGGAAAGTACCATAAATAATTTTTACACCATACATTATTGTCTGTCATCAAACGATCTCTCTTTCATTATCAAATTTGTGTTCAATCTAAAGATCGCACAAATCTTTATTTTCTTATTTCATTTTACTTGGGATTTATCTCATTCATCATTTTTTTTATTTTTTTATTTTTACAAGTTGATAACTTTTTTAGCCTACTTTTTTGTTTGTGTCTTTGTTAGCGTAATGAATAATGGTGAACTAAAATTATATATTATAATTATATTGATAATATAATTAATAAAATCTTATCTAAACACGTCTCTTATCTCATTTTTCATCAATTTTAATCATTGTCTTATTTTTTCAAGTTGATAAATTTTAGCCCATTCATCATATTTTTTTTTTTTTATTTTACAAGTTGTTAAATTTTACGTAGAACTAATAATGTTGGGTACAAAGAAATTTCAATAAAACACAAATATTGTATAGTAGTTTTTATTTTATGAAACTTCTGTTTATTTATTTTGCATATAATTACAATAACTAAACTCTTTTACTTTTAATTCAAATTATATTTCCATACACGAGTGTCGTACACGAGTATCGTACTAATCGAAATTATGAGAACTAATTCTCAAACTTCCAACTGAGTTTGCATGAGTAAGGAGACAAAAAAAAAGTACAGAGGGCATATAAGTAATTGGATTAATATCCTTATTCTCCCTTATTTATCCACCTTCTGAGATTTTACTTTTATAACCCTAGTCTTCTGGGCATCCGCATGGGCTTGGGCTCGGGACGTTGGCGTCACTGCCGATTTCATTTTCAGATCCAACTTCCGCTGTTGGCCCAAGGGCCGCAAAGTTGGGCCTATTATAAGAACTTTTAATCCCAGCGGACTCGACCAACTCACGGCGTTCGCCCATTTGACGCACTCCACAGAACCTCGGGAGGAAAACCCCTAGCCAAGCATCAATTTAAATGAAATAGGAAAATTAAAAATACAATTATTTATTGAAAATATTAATTATACTGTGTCAGTGATATTAATTATTGGAAATTACATAACATTTTTGTACATTATTTTTGTTTACTTTAATTTGTAGGATCATGCTTTATCATAAGGTCCAAGTTTGATATGACCCAACATAAAATAAAATAAAATAATTAGACACTTTAGCATGCCTAGTATTTATATATTGATACCTTCTCCCGCTGCGAGGTTGAAGTAGAGATCGACAATGTTGGGGCAGTTATTATAGCACACTTCCGAGCAGAGGCTTTGAGCAAACCTTCCGTCGAGGAGTGAGTCGGATGATATGCCGAGGGCTCGCCTGTCGAGCCCACACGCGCTTATGCAACTATCGGTTTCGACCCAATTGGTTATCTTGTCGGCCACGATCTCAGAGGTCCTACACGCGTACTCAGTCGTCCCGCTCAGCCGCAGGCGGCTCTCTAGCACGCACCGCCTGCCGGAGAACGACACTGCAAATGCGCACGACTTCTCGTCGAGCATATCGCAATTGATGTTCGTACCTTATCAAGCCACGCAAAAAAACACGTATAATTTCAAGATATAATCCGATTAAAATAAAATCGCACGATTCACAAACTCAGACAATCATACTTTCTTTAAAAAAAAATGCATATATGAGAAACAGAAGAACTATCGATTTTCATGCATGATCGTTAAGTACAATTTATTTTCTTCTAAAAAACAAGCGATAGTCGATAAATTTTATAGACATTATGCAAGTGTTATTACAAGCAAGTGATTGATGACTTACCTAGAATGCCTTGGAGGGAGATGGCTAGAGAAAGAACAATGACCAAAAGTGTTGTTGGTGCCATTGCTTGTGGTGTGCCCTATAAGGATTTGCTATTGAGGTAAAAATTATGTTGACTAGTTTTGATTTTGGGGACTTCAAAAGAGTAGTGAATTAAGACTTGTTTGTGAGCAAGGAGCTAATTGGTAAGGTAAGCTATTTATAGAGAAATTAATGGTGTGAGTATGAGAAATTAATAGCCAATGATCTAATTACATGTGTGAGAAATTAAAGCATTTGGATTTATTTTTCAAACTTATGAAAGATTCATAAACAAAATGATTTAATTGCATGTATGAGAATTTAAGCTTGGGATGAAGTTTCAAACTTATGATCACGAATTGATACCAAGGAAATAATTTCACTATTAACTTTATTTAACAATAAATTAAGATTACTGATAGCCAAACCTAGGGACTAATAAATAAATATTTTATTTTGCTTTTTGGTTTTTGGTTTTTGGTTTTTGCTTTTTGAGCCCTTCGTACGAATTGATACGAAGGAAATAATTTCACTATTAACTTTATTTAACAATAAATTAAGATTACTGATAGCCAAACCTAGGGACTAATAAATAAATATTTTATTTTGGTTTTTGAGCCCTTGGTAAAGCACACACGTATCTGCATTAACCCTTGATGAAATCATTAGCTCTAAAATTAATAATTCCAATTCTAGACTAATATTTTAATCAGTATATGTATAGGTTAATCATTTATGTCGAATAGTATATATAAATACAATAATAATTAATTGTTTGAATAGCTTGATATATTAATTTTAATGACGAATAAAGTGAACTGCTCTAACATATATATGTTTGAGATTCTTGTTCACCACTATATATATAGATGGATATTATTCCAATTTAGAATCTATGGCCAATTGGCCATCATTACATATTGAGCAGGCCAAAGTAGTAGGTGGTGAATAATGTATGGTTGTTATATGAAATTATTATCAACGTGGATGAGCTATATAACTTTCATTTTATAGGAAATATTATGCTTTCATTTTATACTAGTACAACGCCTGATATGGCACATAAGTGTGAAACGGTTCACTTGGTAGACATTCGATTTCGGTTTTTATGGACAAGCCCGGTTTAGTAATGAGGCGGTCCATGGAAGCCTTAGTGCTCGTTTTCTTCAAGGCCCTACAGATTAGTTTTACTAAGTGGGGTTGCTCGGTCCATTTAGTAAATGCGGATTGGTGAAGAGTGTTTTGCTCGGCCCATGTGGCGGCAGTATAATGGGCTCGGCCTATAAAAAAATAAGGGTAATGAAGAATTAGAGGAATGGGACGGAAGAGAGGTGAAGCGTGAGGCACAAGCTAAGCCTTCAGGTATAAATACGCAGACGAGGAATATG